CTGTAGAATCTTGTATTTGATATGTTTTCTTTAATGTAATTGAGGGCGAATAAAGTTTTACTACACTTAATGAGAATGTGGCCAATTAGTCTAAAGATATAAGTTCTCCTTTATTATTGGATACAAATCGTAGATGACGGCGCGAACACGTCCGAGTGATACGACGGCTACGTTTCGAACTGCCTCTAACAACTCGTTGCTAGGGACTCGTAGTCAAGGCAAATTAACATAGCTGTATTGCCGCAACGTGAATCTAATCACTTTTACGGTTTACAGTTCGGCCAATCCTGAGCTAGTGTGCGACTCGAACACGTATTTTATATTTTTTTAAAAAGAAAAGATACACAAAGTGTTAATTATGGTGAATACAATCTAAGTGAGTGATACATTAAATAGATTCGAAGAAAATTCCATAAATAACGTAAGTACAATGTTTTGGTATTATAATATTCACACACACATAAAAGTTAACATATATAAATAACCATTCTTACATTAAATATACTAAAATTAACTGAACACAGTAAAGTTATTAATCTAGCATCTTTTGAAAGATAAAATATACATTAATGTTAAAAAGGAAACAATAATAAAAAGAGATAGCATATTAAACTTTTTTTTGAACATCATGGTTATGATTAGGTAAGGCTTTAATCCATAATTTTAAGCGATCAGGGGAGAGAATTGAATTGTAAGGTCTTGAAGTTAAGCTGGAACCAGGAATGTCCTGCACCACGTATCGGTTTTTGTCCAAAACCTTTGTTACCCTGAAGGGACCTTTAAATTCAGATTTTAATTTCTTACACTCTCCGGCTTTTATCGAAACATCCCTAATCATATCCAGATCACCTGTTTATATGACAAGGGCTTTCGATGATGCTTGTCATAATATAATTTATTATAAGATTTGATCTTTTCTGCGACATTCAGGGCTAACTCCCTATCTTTTTCTCTTTCTAAAGTAAAATTTATTTCAACGCCAGCAATCTCATTCAAGAATTTTACTAAATCAGCATCAGTATTGTTACGTTGATCATAACCTAAAAGTAATTTTGAGGGAGAAGATTTTAACGCCGAATGTCGAGTATTATTAAATACATATTGAACAATTTCAAGGCATATTTCCCAATCATGATTTTCATCGATAAGTTTTTTTAAAGAGGATTTTAAAAAACGATTCGCTCTTTCTGCCAAACCATTGGCCCAAGGAGCAGCAACAGCAATTAGCCTATGCTTAATATTTCTAGAAGACAGAAATTCAGAAAATTCATGAGAGGTAAATGCTGTACCTCTATCAGATACAATTCTTTCTGGTAACCAAGAATATGAAATAAAGATGCGAGATGCTTGATAACTTCCTTGGACGTAGTAGACTTTGTAGGAAAAAGCCAAACGTAACAAGTAAAAGCATCAATAATTACCAAAATATGTTTTGAACCATTGCAGGATTCACACAGAAGGCCAAAATGATCCATGTGTAAAATTCGAAAAGGCTCAGAAGGAGTATCAGTTATTTGCATCTCACCTTCACTGGACTTAAAACCAGCATTGGAAGTTAAGCAAGTCATACATTTACTTATATGGTCATGGACCCGTTTATGAAGAAAGGGAAACCAGTAATGAACACTGAGTCCCTGGACTGCTTTCTCGAAACCACAATGAGCAAGATCGTCATGGTAAATTCTTATTACGTTATCAATCATTGATTCTGGAACAGCAAATCGAGGCAAGTTAGAGTCTTTACGATAAACAAGTCCTCGTATTAATTCAAATTTCGGATTATCAGAAAATTCTAACTGCTCAACAATCTCCTTAAGCCTCGGATCCTGTAATTGCTTTATCTCTAATTCTCTCTCGAGAGGCAAAGCTTCAACAAGAGCCGAAACTTCAGAGATTCTGCTGAGAACGTCGACATGTGCCATTTTATGTCCAGAACGATGCAAAATTTTAAATCTATAATTCTGCAATCTTAAGGTCCATCTAGCGAATCTAGGATTGAGATGTGCCTTATTTACAGCATACACTAATGCATGGCAATCCGTGACAATAGTGAATTCTAAACCATACAGGAATATATGGAAACGCTCAACTGCCTTAACCACAGCCAGCATTTCTAACTCAAAGCTGTGATATCTAGCCTCAGCTGAATTCGTGGCTTGACTGTAGTACGCAATGGGAGCTAATTTTCTCATGTGCCATCGATCGAAACAAGTAGTAATCAGAAGGAGCAATGTCTGGGGAATACGGCGGGTGGGATAAAACTTCCCAATTGAGTGTTTCCAAATAGGTTTTGACCGGCGCCGCAACATGTGGACGAGCATTATCATGCAGAAGAATAACTTTGTCGTGTCTGGAGTAGTAGTGGGCGCGTTTTTCCTTGAGTACTCGGCTCAATCTCATCAATTGTGTTCGGTAGAGAGCCCCAGTAATAGTTTCGTTTGGTTTGAGCAACTCATAATATACGACACCAAACTGATCCCACCAAATACACAACATGAGCTTTTTTCCATGATGTTCGGCTTGGCTGTTGATGTTGAAGCATGGCCAGGTGGTCCCCATAATTTTTTCTTCTTTGGGTTATCGTAGTGAATCCATTTTTCATCACCAGTGACTATACGATGCAAAAAACCCTTTCGTCTATGCCTGGCAAGCAGCATTTCACATGTAAAAAATCGGCGTTCAACGTTTCTCGGCGTCAGTTCATATGGAACCCAATTTTCTTGCTTTTGAATCATTCCTAATGATTTTAAGCGATGTGAAATTGCTGGTTGAGTCACTCCTAATGTAAGTGCAAGTGCTTCTTGCGTTTGGCATGAATCTTCATCCAATAATGATTCCAATTCCGCGTCTTCGTACACTTTCGGCCTTCCGCTACGTTCTTTGTCTTCGACGTCAAATTCACCGTTCTTAAACTTTTGAAACCACTCACGGCAACTTCTTTCACTTAAGGCAGCCTCACCATATGCTTCTACAAGCAATCGATGCGCCTCAGCTGCAGATTTCTTCAAATTAAAGAAGTAAATCAAAAGCTCCCGCAAATGACGTTTATTCGGCTCAAAACTCGACATTTTCGCACGAAAAAAGATATATGATGCTGATACAAAATCGCTAATATTTGAAGGTTATGTTGTTACCAGATGTCCAATCCTACGATATGACGTTCTACAGCAGATAATTTTAACCATAACATACTGCTGGCACCATCTTTTGCCAAACGGCGGAAACTTATTTATACCCCTAATATAATTCTGCAATCTTAAGGTCCATCTAGCGAATCTAGGATTGAGATGTGCCTTATTTACACCATACACTAATGCATGGCAATCCGTGACAATAGTGAACTCTAAACCATACAAGAATATATGGAAACGCTCAACTGCCTTAACCACAACCAGCATTTCTAACTCAAAGCTGTGATATCTCGCCTCAGCTGAATTCGTGGCTTGACTGTAGTACGCAATGGGAGCTAATTTTCCAGATTCCTGTTTTTGGAAAAGAATAGCAGCTAAAGCCAAGGAACTTGCATCCGTATGTAATTCAGTCTCTGCATAGGGATCATATAAACGAAGAACCGGGTAAGAAATTAATTCTTGTTTTAGGATTTGAAAAGCCTTCAAGCAATCATCATTGAAATTGAAAGAGACTGACTTTCGTAAAAGATTAAGCAAAGGGCGAGCTTTAATAGCGAAATCCTTTATGAATCTACGAAAGAAATTTGCAAGACCAAGAAAACGTTGAAGTTGAACAACATTCTTAGGTATCGGAAAGTCTCTAACAGCCTTAACATGACGATCACTTAAGGTAATTCCTGACGGAGATAGAATATATCCAAGATATTCAATTTTCTCTTTTAAAAAATGACATTTTTTATAATTAAGTTTAAATCCGTATTGTTTTAAAATCAAAAGTACCTCTTTCAATGAAGACAAGTTTTCCTCAACTGTACAAGATGGCACCAAGATATCATCAATGTAAACTAAAACTTTATCCTCGCGCAAAAGAGGTTGAAAGATTTGGATCATTCTCTTTTGGAACTCAGCTGGAGCCTCACAGTAACCAAAAGGTAATTTCATGTACTCAAACTGACCATCAGGAGTCGCGAAAGCAAAATATTTAGAATGATCTGGATGAACATCTATTTGATGAAAACCATCTTTTAAGTCAAGCAAAGTAAAAACTTTCTTATTGCCCAGTCGAGAAAAACATTCTTCCATCAATGGAAAGGGGTATTTTTGTTTTATGACACGATCATTCAACGGTCGTAAATCAATGCACAATCGCATTGTACCGTTTTTCTTAATTACAGGAACCACCCTTGCACAATAAGGGGAAATGCTCGGTTTAATAATTCCTCTGTGCAAGAGATCATCAGTAATCTCTCGAATCTGTTTCCTTTCAGACCATGCGAAGCGTCGAGGAGAATAAGCATAAGTTGTATTGTCTTTGAGAGACACTGTGACGGCATGACCATCTTCAATTGGAATGACAGAAGTATTCTCAACTTCACGAATTAAAGTTACAAGTTTTTCATCAACCGATGGTCCGAAATCAGATTCGAAAGTAAACTCATCAGAAAAGCCAGGTAAAACAGACTGACTATAATCATCTAAAGATGCAATTTCAGAAAATAATTGGATCTTTGAATTTTCGTTACCAAAAGTTTCGCAAACAATTACAATTTTGTACATTTGCAAAAAATCACGACCAAGAATAAGGTCAACAAAAAGCTCATCGTCCTCTAGAACAAGAAAAGGAACTTTGAAAGATTTATTCGGAAAAATCGCGAGCTGAAATTCCAAAGTAAATTCTCCGAAAACTTTAATAATTGATTTATTTAAAGCTTTAAAAGAACGAGATGGAACTTTTAATTGATCCAGAGGTTGATTAGTCAAATTAGAAAAGATAGATGGTCGAATAAAAGATACAGCGCTGCCCGTATCAATAAGAGCGTCCAATGAGCAATTTGTTTCATTTAAAGCAGTCACCGTAACAATATTGTCGCTAATTTTATACGGCGATCCGATGTCGACAAAAGCTACCGTCGGTGAATGGGAAGGCTGGGAAGACTGGATGGTCTGGAGAGACTGGAAGGACTCGGAGGTCTCAGAAGATTGTGACGAAGACGTCTCTTCAATCGAAGCAACCGCTGACGAGCTACCAGATGAATTTCCAGTCAAGTTCTGCTCCTTTTTCTTCAGACGAAAACAGTTGTCCCGGGTATGCCCCTTTGTCCGGCAATAAACACAAAATACTTCCTTGGAAGAATCGGTAGACGGGCCTATTTTGGAAGAAGTCGTTTCTTCTTTCTTGATATTATCCTTGGAATTGACAGGCTTAACAGGAACAGGAGGGGTCTTTTTGGAAGGATCACCAAAAGCCAAAATAAGTGAGTGCATCTTGTCTAAGAATTGATCGATAGTTTCTGCTTGGATCAAAGAAGCTGAAGCTCTTAAAGATGGACTTCCTATACCAGAGATCAGGAAATCAATATTTTGTTTTTCAGGCAAACGAAAATTCTGTAAAAGCTTCAATTTCTGCATGGCGTAATCCTGAAAAGACTCCTTTGAAAAATTCCATTTTCTACTTTCGACTTTTTGAAAGGTTACACGAAAAGGTATGTCTCTTTTGAACCTTTGAGAGATAGCTTGCTTTAAGTTGAACCAGGAAGTCATTAACAGTACCCCGCAAGGGGTGGGGTCATTTCCGGTGCGATCCGGTACTCCCGGACGCGGCGGG